GGGTCTCATCCCCCTTGGGTGACCCCCAGGACCCCCCCTCAGGTATTCAGAAGGGTCCCCGCTCTGACTTCGACATGGCCTACGAGCGYGGCCGCATCTCGGTGTCGCTGCAGGAGGACAGCACCGGTGCCTTCGGGCAGGTGGGGCTGGGTGCTCCCTGGATCCCAAATCCTGCCCCAAATCCCATCCCAAATCCTGCCAGATCCCACCCCAAATCTGCCCCAAATCCCATCCCAAATCCTGCCAGATCCCACCCCAAAATCCTGCCCCAAATCCCATCCCAAATCCTGCCTGGATCCCACCCCAAATCTGCCCCCGAATCCTCCTCGATTCCCACCTCAAATCCCATCCCAAATCCTGCCAGATCCCACCCCAATTCTGCCCCTGAATCCTCTCCAGATCCCACCCCAATTCTGCCCCTGAATCTTTCCTGATCCCGCCCCAAATCTGCTCCTGAATCCCATCCCAAATCCTATCCTGAATGCCCCCCGATCCTACCCCAAATCTGCCCTGGAATCCTTCCTGAATCTTCCCCAAATCCCACCCCAAATCCCATTCTGAGTGCCCCCCAATCCCATCCCATATCCACCCTGAATCGTCCTGGATCCCACCCCAAATCCTGCCTCTCAGTCCCATCCTGAATCCTTCCCGGATCCCATCTCAAATCTGCACCCGAATCCTCCCTGGATCCTCCCTGGCTCCTACCCCAAATCCCATGCTGAATCCCATCCCAAATCCTGCCCCAAATCCCATCCTGAATGCCCCCTAAATCACCCCGAATGCCCCCTAAATCACCCCAAATCCCCCCAAATTCCCCCCAACCCGTCCCTGTGGCCGCAGCCAGCGCCGCAGGAGCCCAAGGAGCGCAAGTCGGTGACGCTGGAGGAGCAGCCGTCGGGGATTTACCGCTACAGCTGCTGCGAGGAGGACACGGGGACAGGGACGGGGACAGGGACAGGGACAGGACCGGGTCCCTTCGGGCTCTTCCAGGGCCGCCAGAGCGGGGACATCTTTGAGGAGGCCAAGAGGGAGCTCATCAAACTCATGAAAATCGAGGTGAGGACAGCGGGGAGGGGTCAGCGGGGCCAAGGTGGGGTGGAGGGGGTCAAGATGGGGTCAGCAGGGTCGTGGTGGGGTCAGTTTTGTTGGATGGGGTCAGCGGGGTCAGCAGGGTGGGATCAGTGGGGTCAGCGGGGTCAAGGTGGGGTCAGCGGGGTCAGCAGGGTGGGATCAGTGGGGTCAGCGGGGTCAAGGTGGGGTCAGCGGGGTCAGTGGGGTCAAGGTGGGGTCAGCAGGGTCAAGGTGGAGTCACTGGGTCCTGGTGGGGTCAGCAGGGTCAGCGGGGTTGGATGGGGTCAGTGGGGTCAGTGGGGTTGGGGTGAGGTCAGTGGGGTCAGCAGGGTCA